TAATAATAATAATAATAATAATAATAATAATAATAATAATAATAATCGCCCAACAGCAAGCACTATGCGCTTCACATTCTATACTATTACCCCAGCAGACCTGAGATCGCATTCTGAAGCAACCTCAACTTCCTGGGAAGCATACAGTGCAAACAGCCCTTTATGGGCGCTAAAACACTAACATACTGACATACAGCGGATCTTTCGCTGTCTATGGCCAGGTACCCATTCTCACCTGGGTGAAGTGAGGAAAATTTGTGCAAAGTGCCTTTCCCAAGGACACAACGTCGGGACCGCGGCTCGAACCCCCGAACCCGCAACCTCACGATTACGAGTCCGGTAGCCTAACCACTAGGCCACCAACGCCTAGTAAAGACTAAGAGTTCTGTCGTGCTGAATGAAGATTTATTGATAACCACACGTTCGCCATTACGGCAGACGCAACATAATACTGGAGATCAATGCTGATGTCAAAGTGCAGTGAAAAAAATGTATTTTGAATTATTTCAGCAAATTAAAATCAAATGTTTAACATTTCGCTTTTAGATATCAAAATCACCCAGTGCATCATGTGATAGACATCTGTTCATGTTTACCCAACACAGGAAGGACACTGAGAAGCACGTAGATATACATACCCAGTCAAAATAGAAAAATGGCCGGTCAGAGAAATCGTCAGCTCTTTTCACGAACGCCTCTTTTATCGCGTCGTAGCCGTTGAGCACAATGACCACATTAGGACCCAAGTACAGGCTGAAAAAAAAAAGAATTGTGGGTGTTTTATGCTATCATCGACATAATTTAGATAACCTAGGAAGCGGGCTTCTGATCCTGCCTAAAGCGCCAACCCGGACGGAGAAGGATACAACATCCAAGCAGAGAGACAGAAATACTCGATAAAAAATTGCACCCCACTCTGGAATCGAACTCGGAGCTCCTGCGTGACCTCAACACCACAGACGTTGGCACAGGCCTAAAAGAAAGTATAGCAACCTATACGTTTAGTTTTTAATTTTCGCTTTAGTAAGCGTTTTACGACACTTACAACACAATAAGGTCATATAAGTGCCGAAGATTAGAGGTGTTCCAAGAAAGTAACAAACATAAAAAAACCGATAACGATAACAACAAAAACAAAAACAACAACAACAACAGCAGCAGCAGCAACAACGACGACGTCGACGACGACGATAACAACAGCAACAACAACAACAACAACAACAACAATAACAGCAACAACAACAACAACAACAACAAAATAAGTTATTTGTACCTGAAAACATCCCCCACTTTCTCACGCCATTTTTTCATCTGACTTCGAGGATCCTGTGGGTTCATGGAGAGTAAATGTCCCACAACAGGCAGTGAGATAGTTGGGGTGGGTGGAAGACCCCGGGTCTTCAAGTAACCCCACACCACGTAGAAGGAGGCCAAAAAGATGACCAAAGTCATCAGAATATTCGTGATGTCCACTTCAGATCCAGACATTGCTTGAGAATGTGATGTATTTAGTCCTGGAAAAAGGGAGAAAGGGTCATTGCGTTCATGCCATAATTGACATGTTGAAATTAGTAATAATAATAATAATAA